TTATATTAAAATTAAATTCTTAAAATTTTATTTTTAGATTTTAATAGAAATAATAATAATAAAATACCTCAAAAATAATTATTATATATATATATACATAAAAAGAAATTAACTTAAAAATTAAAACAAGTCTAGATGATGGAATAAATACACAACATAAATAAGCCTTTTTGTTGACTAAGAGACTATATATACTTCAAATGAAGTACATAGGAAGTTATATTTGAGATTGCAAATACTTCATAAAGACTTTTTATGCAAGAAAAAGGAAATTTTTGAGGTGATGTTTACAAAGTACAGTTTTTTTTAATAAGGCTTTAATACATATGAAGTTGTCCATATTATACAAGACTTTGCACATTCATATCTACATAAATCCAACAACTATTTTTCTTTGTATACTTTCTTTAATTAGAGTTACTTTTATTCTTCTCCAAATTATAGCTAGATGTAACTTTTTAGTATTAGTTTATAGTATAAATACCTTGACTTACAATTATACTTGACTCTTCCAAATTGTATTTACAATTCTTTTAGTTAGTAGTCTTACAAAGTCCTTCTCCCTTTTGATTCACATATTGTATTTGCTTGCTTAGTTTTAATAGCCATTCATATAATGCTCTTGCAATATTTTGGCATCTTAATAAGTTTGCCAAACTTCACAAACAACAATATTTTACACAATGTGATTTTACTATTATTTATGGAAGTATATATCCATGTGACAATAAATTATCACTTGTTGGCTTAAGTCAGTGGAAATAAGTCTTCTACTCCAATCTTTTTTCTCAACTACTTATATTATTTTGGACACAATATAAGATTCACAAACATGATTATATATATATATATATATATATATACAATAGTGCATACAAAGATATATAAATATTAATATATATTGAAAAATGATAAATCGACCCAAATTTTAACTAAATGGACCCACATATTTCAACCCCATCCTTGTTTCCAACCACTCCCTTGTTTCCAATCATTGCCCCTATTCCAACCCTCCACCCCATCCTTTGTAATGGTTGGGAATGGAGAACGATTAGGAACAAAGATGAAGCCTGCAAGGATGCAATGCTGGTTAAAATAGAGTGGGTTGCTTTAGTAAAATTTGTGTCACTTTATCATTTTCGTATATATATATATATATATATATATATACATGCAATTAAATCTTTGGAAAAAGTTTGATAGAATTATCGATCATCTCACCATGAGAAGAATATAAGTCCTAATACTTTCTTATAGACTATTGTGTAATGCCCCCATTCCCCCACAAAACTAACCCAAAAAAACTCACAACATGAGCTCATCATTCAAGTAAGCAAAGCAAAGCAAGACCCACTAGCACAAAATAGACCCAGCACGTGGGGAAGCTCGGCTCCGCTGCGACAAACAAACGCAATGGCGACGACACCCCACTCACTCACTCCTGCACATCATCAGCCCACGGCGATGGCGCTGTGATGGTGACGAGGACCAGGATTTGAAGAGAAGGGAAGGGAAGAAAGAAAGAAAGAAAGAAAGAAAGAAAGAAGAGGAGACTGGGGGAGAAGGAAAGAGTTGTTGCATCAAGGTTTTGTGGAGATTGTGAAGCCATGGGTGCGATGGTGGCCGCGACGACGTCCGTGTTTTTGAATCCACAGCAGCCTGCGTTGTTGTGCAGGGTGGTGCAAGGGGCTAGGATCATGCCGCTACAGCGTCCGTGGTTTGTCTGCGACGGACGGGAGCTCGGGTGGTTGCTTTGAGACCCATCCTGTGGCCTGCAGCGCGAGGCTTGCGTGATCTGAGCTCCGTCGTGGCCGCGGCTGCTGGTGGTGAGAGTGGGTAATGCTCTTTGCTGCTGCGTGCTTTGTTTGTGTGGGGACTTGGCATCTTTCCGTGGGTGTTGGCTTTGTGGGTTCGTTGAATTGGCGATGTTGCGTTGACATCTCGTGTGGAGCTGATCAATGGAGTGGGCTTGTATTGGGTTTTATTGTTGTTGCGCGACGTGGAGTTTGAACCAAGTGGATTGATATGACATGAGTCATGCAATGCCTCGTCCTGAACGGAGATGGGTTCAGATCGTCCATTCAGTGATTCTTTATCGCTTTTCCTTGCAGTACTTGCAGAATTTCTCGGCCACTCGTTTGCACTTGGTAATGGTGTTTGGAAATCGTTTAACTCATGCCGATTTCCTGAGCATTGTCTACAGATGGAATTGATTGTGGTGCCTGAGTAGCTGTTCACACGTGAGTTCCACCCCATGTACTGGGGCTCTGTTTTTCACTTGATGTGCTGTGTGCCTTGGCATTGTTAATGGACGCATTTTCACCATGTTTGTAAAATCGCGATGTCGTTTCCAGAGACGAGGAAGCTAACAAGGAAATCGATATTAAAGGTGGTGAGAAGAGTGAAGAAATCAAAGTCCTAGACGTTTTACAAACTTCTGATGGTGAAGAGGTTGCAGCTCTGTTAGAGCCCCCGGCAGATTCCATCGATGAAGGCTGCGTGGAATCATTGAATGATGGTGACTCGAACTCATCGTCAGACTCATCGTCGGATTCAGAGTCAGAGGAAGAGATAGAGGATGATGGTGTAGATGCGAAGGAATTAAAACAGCAGCTTATCGATTTTCTCGACGGCAAGGGAAGAGGCATACGTGCTAGCAGCGATACCCGTGACGAGGTCACAGAGCTTATCTCGCAGTTTGAATCGAAAAACCCCACCCCTGCTCCTACGGACTCGCTTAGCCTCTTGAATGGAAAGTGGATTTTGCTGTACGTGTTCTACTGTATCCTATGCTTCTTACTGAACATTAAAAGAAAAATGATGCTACATTTTTTCATCCTTGTACGTGATGTAAAATTCATATTATCTTGTAGTGAGATACTTAATAGGCAATCTTTAGAAGGATGCTAGGTTTAATGAAAATGGCCATCAAGCTTTTGGCATTTAGGGAAATATGTTTAATCATCTGCAGTTAGAGACGAAAACTAGTGTAGATGTAGTCTTGTACTGATTCGACTTCGGGGGGATTTGTCAGTTACACGTCGTATTCTGAGCTGTATCCATTATTGGCTGCGGGTAATCTGCCACTGGTGGAGGTCGCGGAGGTTTCACAGACCATAGATGCACAGGCGCTCTCTGTCGAAAATTCTGTGTTATTTGAGAGTCCTGTGACTACTTCTTTTGGCACTTCTGTCTTCTTTGAAATCCGAAGTCCAAAGTGAATTCTGGTAATACGCATCTTTTCGACTATGTGATACATCAAAAGTTTATTTGTGCAGTTTTCTCTTAAATCAATCTGCAGTAAAGCAATGGGATTATTGGGCCTTATGTTCGTGAGAAGGGGGGCCTACAGACCTAGGGGTGCAGGGACATCTGAACCCTCCATTAGTGCTCTTAACTGCGTCCCGTAATACTAGATTAACTGGAAAGTTCTTGTAGGATAGTCCACGGATGAAGGTCCAAAATAGCAAGATTTGACTCACCCTTCGTTCTGATGTCTTGCTTCTCTTCTAAGACTAATTGTTTTACTTTTATGGTTCCAGGTAAAACTTGAGGAGGGCATTATTTCGTCCCCAAAAGTAAGAGACTCCGCTGAGATTCCTTCAAACTTGGATATAATGGGGCAGAAGATTGATCTGTCCTTTGCTATGGGATTGTTAAAACCACTTCAAGATGTTGCGACGACAATTATTCGAAACCTCTCTGGTCAACCACCTTTGAAGTTCTCAATTCAGAATGACCGGGCACAGTCTTGGTTGCTGACAACCTTCCTCGAAGAGGATCTTCGAATCTCACGCATCGACGGTGGCAGCATGTTTGTCTTTCTCAGAGAGGGAACTACACTTCTGTACTGAGCAGCCCATTTTCAATTTTTGGCATGTTGGTGACAGACAGGCTGCTCTTCTTTTGGAGTAGGAAAATGCTGCTCTTCCCAGCATGCATTCCAATTGTAACTAGCAAGCTTGAAAGGGTTTGAAACTAATTTGCTTCATCCATGTACATTTCAATCACAAAAGTTCGTTGAGATTAGTTGGATCAGTGATATAATTTGACATTCTGTGCAGCTGTATACAACTCTGCTCTTTGTGAATCTGCCCAGAAAAAAGCTCTTCTTTTTCCAGCATCTTGATTGCTCCGGGTTGTTTCTACCAGAGTGGCTAATGTGTATGTTCTTTTTATGAAATTTGAAAGTACAGTCGCAAAACTGACGTTGAATATGCAAATCTAAACCACAATCAAAAGTTTGGTTTTGTTGAATTAAAAGCTGTAAATCAAAAACTGCCCGTTTTCCGTAATTAGTAAAAATACAAATAATTAGATGCTAGACATCAGAAATGTTTTTGTGCAGTGCTCCTTCTGCCAACTTTGGATGTGACAATCTCTCATAAAATCTTAGTGGTTGTTCAAACTCCCCGTCCCTTTCAGTTTTTTGTTGAAACAAAGTTGCTCCAATGTTATTTCCTCACAAGGTTGGAATTTTGTAGTTGGTGTATAATTTGAAAAAGTATTTAATGTATTGCAGTTCTACTTGTTGTATGAGCTATATTTTTTTATTCAATACATCAAAGGCACATGACATATTGAAATGTACATGGGTGAGTAAATTAAATAGTGAGTACGGACCATACTTTTGTGCAGTGCTCCTACTGCCAACCTTCTTAAAATAAAATTTGATAGGAAAATATGTGTCAGACTCCTCCAAATAAAAGGGGAGTTATTAGCAATAAGGAGATTCTAAGTTTGAATGTGGCTGATTGAAATCCTTCCTTCCAGATCACAACCATCAATTCGAATGAATTCACACAAACCTATTTGCAGAATTGAAGCATTGGATCCACAAAAGTTGTGTTGCAACTAATATCCAATTGAAAGACGAAGAAAGCTGGATGAAAAGCAGCTGCGAAGGTTGAAAGTGAGCCATCTGATAGAGACGAAGGAGAGCAGTGTCGAAACGAACCCAATAGGCGAAGAAAGTTTTTTTAAAAATAAAGGGGGGGGGGGGGGGGAATTCCTCTGCGTATTATTGGGGATGATATGTACATAGATATTGCACATCATGTGGAGTTCACCGATGGTTTCTGCCGAAAGGGTTCGTGACGCCTCTACGGCAGAGAACATTGCGTCATCTCCCTAATTCTACCCTTCAAAATTGCGGTAAATATACAGTGTATTCCTCCTCGGCAGCTTCAAATTACTGCATCAAATGACCCTAGCTTCCAAACAAAAAAGGAAAAAAAAGGAAAAAAATGCTTCTCCCTCGCGCCCTATCTTCTACCCTAAACCGGTTTTGATTCAGTACAAACGAGTGCATTCCAGCACGAATGGCGGGCTCCTCCAAAAACTGCCTGCCGGAGATATGTTCGACGAGATAGACTGTACAAATTACTGGCTCATCGACCCGGATGTGGGAATCACTCGATTTGGTTCTCCTCTTCCTCCGAAGCATGAGCGTGGGACTGTACATCGCCTGAACCAGCTCCTAGACTAAACCTCACGTTTGGCTTCGTCGGTTCCTCGCTTTTGAGGTCCTCTCGTTGCCAGCTTGTGCCCTCGGACTTGGCTTCCTCCTCCCCGGGGCTCTCGTCGTGGTACACTTCGCTGCTGGGTCCTTGAGTCGCGGATGATAATTGACTGGTAACGTGCAGAGGACCCTGGTGAAGAGGAGAGCCCAGGGGTTTAGATCAGGCGGAAACGAGAGAATTGGTAGAGCAACTCAAGGAACAAAAAAAGGGCGTACTGGTGGAGGTTAAGAATTATGTGTCGAGTAATACCTGTGGTGAGTTTTGAGATTGCGATGTGCCAGCTTGTTTCGGCTGCTCAAAAATCGGCTGCTCAAAAATCGGCTGCCGGTGCATCTGCAATGAAACGCTGGAGGTATCGTTGTTGATGCAAGCGAAGTAGTCTTGGGGAAGAGAGGTAGGGCAAAATTCCGTTGGTTGTGGTGGGTGCGCTATTGAAGGGTCGTACACGCCTGACGAGGGCTGGGAGCCGGATGCGGCGTATTGGGGGGGGACCCAGATACCGCCCAGTACTACCAGTTTTGGCGACTGCCCCGCACCGGCTGGTTGCGGTGAGGAACTTGGTCTCCGCGTGTGCAGGCGATATTTCTGCACGTAAATCCAAGATTCAGTCCAATCATTTCATGCAAAGCGGTCTACAGTTCTCGATGTAACATTGGGTTTGGTCTGACCACATTATGTTAAAGTAACAGTCTCAAGCCCAATCAAGTTTCACAATGATCAAACCATACCTGCAGATGACTCTTCACTTCGTCATTCGTAAGCCCATCGACTTTCATAAGCTCACGAATTTGCTTCGGCGTGGCTACTGCATTAGCACAATCTTGTTCAGGAAATTAAATTGAAGTCCTAAGGAAATAGTTCAAGTAAATAACACTAATGAAAGGCTAAATGGAAAAAACTTATCTCACCACCTATTCACACCGTGACAGTCTGTACAGAAGCAGAAGCAGAGTTTAGAACAATACATGAAGACCGATAGTCAAATGGAGGATAAAACAGTCACGACTATAATCGATCTGGGATGAAGGAAAGAAAAACTTACTTTGAGAGCCACCGAGCTGATGCAAAGCATTGACGAAGAGGCGGTGGAGCTCGGGAGACCAACACCGACGGGCTTTTCGTGAGGGGTTCCCACCCACACTGGAGCTTCCGGCACCCGACGTGCCATTGGATATCACCCCCATGTCCTCGGCGACAGGCACATCCACAGTCTGACGCCCTGCATCGATGCTGCCAACTTCCGAACCGGATGGTCTTAGGGTGTGGCCAGTCTGGGTGGTGGTGGGCTCACACAACGAAAGACTCAAATCAGCTCCACTACCAGCGGGCCTGGGCGTAGGTCGGGACAAAAAGGAATTTACACCATGCTGCTCCCGTATGAAAGGGAGGAACGCTCCCGTGGGCCGCTGATTTGCGCCCAACAGCATCTGAGAGCTTGTTACCCAGCTGTGCTCTTGCTCCGAGACGCTCAACTCAGAATGCTCCTGCGTAAGCCTCGTCTCCTTCTGTAGGATCCACAAAGCAAGCAAACACCATAAGTCAAGTTGATCAACACAACAGCACCACCCGTGATCTGATTAAACATTCATAATCGTGCGAGAGCAATTGAAGAACAGTGTCCAAGAAATACCTCAGGGGACGCAGGAGTTCTCTTTGACAGCAATGCTTCCGTCATCCACGCCGGCCTCTTGCTGCTCCGGTCTTCGCCCCTCTCTCCATCACTGCTCACACTTGGTTGATCTCGTTCCCATCTTCTTTTTAACGGCATGAACTCTTCCAGCGTATGACGGCAGCCTGGGCCACTTGACACGCCATGTTGATCTTTCCCGCTGTCCATGGAGTTCGCTTTAAGCTGCTGTGGCAAATCCTTCCCACGGAGCAACTTCTCCTTGGAAGTTCTGATAGCTGTCAGGACCCGCGTCATGCGAAAGCGTCAACACAGGCACAAGCAAATCACTCATGTGAAGAAAACTCTACGGAACGGAATCCACATGCTGCAGTCTAAGATGCCTTACCATCTTCAAGGAGCTGTATGCATAGGGGCAGCTCTCGTTTGAAGCCTTCTACTTTTCGCCGCTCTTCTTCTAAAGTGCGCACGTAATCCTCCGCTTTCCGCAAGCTCTCTAGACAATCCTCAAGACATGCCGAGCTATTCCGATGGTCGTTGTAACGTCCATTACTGCTGGGCGCTTGAGTGTTGCACCCTAGGGTAAGATCGATTGGTGAACCCATGCTTGCTCATGTACAGACCTACACAGCCTCCTGTAACCACAAAAAGGACATTGGTTCCAGATCTTGGCATTTCAAAGACGAACCAAATACCACCTTGTTCAGGCTACGCGGGTCTAGCGTTCCCGAATTTCAGCCTCTGAAGACAATGTGCTTGCGTAAGAGAGCTTAAAACTACCGGACACAATCAGGCAAAGGCATAGTGACGCAGTGGCTCGACTCTCTCAACTACTGTACAACCAGTGACTTCAGGGGTCTCCCTTGCACACCCAACTCAACGAGCAGAGAGGAACAAGATAAAATCGTTCCTTAGCTAGATTCCGGAAGAATTAGAACCATATGAACGTTCCAAAAGTTAACTGCAGAGGATCCTACATTATGACAAAACGAAGATGTGTTTAGACATTTCCAAAAATTGTGAAGGGATATTTGGATCCTGAAGACTACTCGATGTTCGAAACGGACTGCGTCGTGCATCGTTTACTCTACCACAGTGAGTGGGTGAATGGGATTTAGTTCGGGTGCGCGAATTGAGTATTTATTAGCTTCAAGACCCATAGAGAATTAAACTTGCATTTTAAACGGTCTGGTGAAAATCAAACTACAAGCTAGTCCCGTTCAAAGTAGATAAATCTCCAAGAGTCTCTGCACATACTAGAAAGAAGCGCCAGGCTGAGTGGAATATGATTAATCTGGTCTGGTGATAAGCTGCGGTGACCAACAGAACTCTAATGAAGTGCTAACTTCGGATATCCAGCCACTCGCTGAGAAGCACGAAACGGCGTCAAGCTATCGCCGCGGCTATGCGCAAGACATCCTCTCAGAATACTCAAACTCTTCGGCCGCAGCCCGAAATCTTACAAGTTACTACTATCTTAAAGGCTATTAAGATGTCTCAATCTACACGGTCGACCCAATTTTTTCGAGCGTGGCGCAGAAATGCAATCAGCAACACCTAGAGAGCAAGGCTGAATCCAAATGTACCTGCATGTACGCCACCTTCCCACACCTCGTTCCAACTCAAAGTCCGACAGAATTTCTCCTCCAGCAAGGGCCCTTTCCAACTGCACAAGAAGTGCCAAACCAGACGGACTGCACTTCCAAACTCGAAGCTCCAAGCTCAAAAGATTCAATCACCTCTGAACTGCGAGCCAATGCCGCAGCCGATTCCAGTACCGTCAAAGTATCTCCGCTCACCAGCCGAGACAAACGTTTCTACCTACAAATACTCGCTCCACGCTTCCGGAATCTGCACGTCACACGCTTCACAGAATCTCATGACTCTTTACAGCAGCAGCAGGTAGGGCTCCCTCGCACAACTTCACGAGAAACCTCGAGAAGCTCTGGTCACGTCGACGCTCTGAACTCCCCCAGCCCCGACCCGACCCAAACGGGACCGATGGGAAATTTTGTGTAGACCAGGGGTGGCGATTGATCGAGTGATTGACAAGATCTACAAAGGTGATACGAAGAATTTCGACGTCGGCCAGAAAAGGGTAGGACGATCCGACGATTCGGAAGCGATCGAAATAGTCGCTGGATTTGCAGTGGAGCTACTGCACAACAACTACCCTTTCTTCCATATAGACAGGACACGGGGGCCGGGGCAGGTGGGGCAAGTATAACCCTCTCGGAATAAACAGGTATATCCTCTGATACCAGAATCACGACTCGGCCTTTTTTATTCACTTGTCAGTCCTCTGTTGAACATCCCCGCATATTCTTTCAGCATCTTACGAGACCATGATTGGCATCACATGCTGTTCCACCAATCGCAGGGCTCTCGATTCTCCCTCGTTTCACGGCATGTTTTAATGCTGTGTCTTCCTCCCTATCTGCCTCACGCCCAAAACTTTAGATCTCTCAGTGGGACTCGGAAAACACTGTTCACTATTGACTGAGCGGCTCGGACCAATTCACCGCAGTTGAAAACTTTAAACCCACGCTCTACTGTGTGAATAGATGCCTCTGAGATTAGAATATTCATAGAAAATTACAAATTACAACTAGCAATACTATATTGGGCATTGTTGCCCCAATTACCAAAGTCGCCCTTGCGAATTTACTATCGTAATTATTCATTTTATCCCAACAGTGAAAGTAGCTACATATCGGTGGTCTTGAAATCAAATGTTCCGTCGTACCTCGGAGGTGGTTGCGTGGGTTGCAACTTTCCCATCACCGGAATATTCCACGTGCATCCATCATGTGTTTCCAGCAGGGAACAATCTCCGCAATCGTGGCACAAAAGAAATCTTCCCTCGTTTGTCATGAGGGTGTCCATGATTGAAGATTTTCCCCCTGCCTTGCAACGCAGGGTTGCATCCAAGGGTTTCGGAAGCAGCTTCGCACTACTGAACCGGATAGTTTAGGTCTGGACGAAGCAGAATATGGCGCCGCGGTTTGGATTTCGGGCTCTGCGGAACTCTTGATGCCTGTATAGGAATTTGGAGGTTCCTCTTGCATTTTCCTTTTTCTGCAGAAGCTCGTTGGGTGCTTTTGACCGGGACTTGACTGCAAGGGTGAAGCACATCACAAGCACGTCGTCACCTTCGCCAGGGTGGACCACATATCACCTCGGACTACACGCAGTGGTGTTGTCAGAAAGCAGTCTCCATTCCCTGAGCACACATCACCGAAGACGCCAAATTAGGCCTCGTCGTCAAAATTCTAGATGAATCGGTTCTTTCCCTAGCCAATCATCGCAAGAGGAAAAACAGATTCCGCCGCTTCGCCCGAGTGGTCACACTCTGATAAGCGCACTGCATCCTGTGAGGCAGAATCTCGTGAACACTTCACCGCGTCTCGGTTTCTATTTCTCGTCCAACTTCACTCCGTCCGTCCTCGTCAAGGACAGTAAGGAAACAGACTGTTCTCATTCGTGATGTCTCGCTTCAAGAGTGACTTTACACACCTCAGATGTACACATTGTGACGACCGAAGCTCCTAGGAGAATACTTATCCCTGACTGCCTTCAAGATGTGTCATGTTTCTCCAGAGTTGGCACATTTCTATTATAATACATTATGAATTCACCTACCAGTATATCCCCCATTCCGTGGGCTGTGGGTGGCAGATTCTCGCCGACTACAGTCGTAAATGCTTTTTAGAACATTCCACCCCTTAAAATGATACCAACGTACTAAATTTATTCCGTTAGGTGATTCGTCGAAGCGCTCGTAGGTTTCTCCCCAGGTTAAAAAGCAGTTTAACTTCGCACCGTGGATCCACCAATTCAGCAATGAACAATCGCCTGGAATTCATGGAACATCACGTGAGTCATGCCATTACTTTGAACACTAGAACATCAACCCAAGGTCGTTCTCAACCCTTGACTTCTCTTGAGCGTTAGGCAAGTGAGAAATGCTCCGAAATTACTACATGAATCCCGAGGGTCACATTCACTCGGTGGCGAGAGAAAACTCGCACAACAAGCGACAAAACCCTATCCAGTCGCCAGTATTTTCAAGCCCTTTTTTTTTTTTTTTTTTTTTTTTTTTTTTTTTTCAACAGCAAGCCTTGCAGCATTGACAAAGCTACATTATCTGATCAACCAGTCGTCACACGATTCTGACATCAAAAGAGGAAGGGCTCCAAAGTTTGCCCTGCGGACATCTCCGAACTCGACAACCATCCACGAAAAATCATCGCCACACTCAGGCCCCAAACCCAAAAAACAGGGTCCAGAAATCAGGAGAGGCAGCGAGAGCGAGCGAGCGGACACCGAAGGCTGCCAGGCCTGGCCGTAGAAACCAAAGTATCTGTGGAAGTGCAAAGAGCATATTCTACTCCCTTCCCACGGCCATACAAATCCATCGCCATGCGACAATGCTCTGAATCGGACAGCATACCCCTACCACCTCCACGAGTAATAAACCCTAAACCCTATCCCGACCGTCAGATCCCCCGAAAGATCTAGCGGTTTGAATCCATCTCGTGCGGACAGTCTGCCACAACTGCAACTGAATTACTTTTACTTTATCCTTTTGCTTTCCTGACTCGTGTTTTTCGTCAATTTTGGACCAAGCACGGAGATACCGATGCAGTTTGAAAGGAATCTGGGGCGGCTTCAACTAAGGCAATCATGTCGGCTTCGTAACATTTATTCAAAATTGGCATAACAACTATTAGTAATAGTATAATTGTTATTATTATTGTTGTTGCCACTGCCACTCTTGTTGCTATTCGAAGAATTAAGATATTGGACATGTGTGTGAATTGATTTCGAACCATTGAATTTGTGACAAATAAATTTGAAATGGCATGCATGCGAATGGTTTTCATTCTTCAATATACATCCGTCGGTGTTGGTATGTTCATCCTCTGCGGCGGGGGAGGGTATATCCATTGAGGTCCACGTGTGCGGTATGGCCTTATCCAATCGGGGCCCACCCCGGTCCACGTCAGCCCTCCTCGACTTTCGCGTGGATGGACTCATGGAATCCCATTTTGCTACCCTTTTATTTTATTTAATTTAATAAAGGAACCCTTTAACTGGAATATATATATATATATATATATATGTGTAAAAGCCCCCTCTTTCTTTTTTGTTGAGCGTTTTTCATTGGAATTACAATTAAGGTTTTTATTCACATGTGCGCAGTTTTGAGTAGCCGTTCAATTTGGGTAGCCATACAGATGAAGCTTAACTTCTTGTGTGGATTTTATTTTTTAATTTCTGTTTGCTTGTTGTGTTTAGAAATCAGTGTGAACTGCATGCCACCTTAATTATAAACTTGTATTTTGTGGTCATTTTCTTTCTTGACTTGCTAGATGAATATCAGTAGGTAATAAAACTAATCACTAATATATATTCGATTTTGTAGGCAATAGAATGTGTGTTTGCGATTTAGCATTGTAAAAGCAATTAATATGAAGAATGGTATCATGGGAATCTCTGACGCAACCAACTTTAGTTTTAAAAAAAAATTATATTCATCACAACAACAAGGAATTAGTAATAAACTTAATGATTGTTTATTTTTGCAGGGGTGTGAGTTATAATTAAGTATAGAACAATGGGAGTTCAAAATAAGCTTGAGGTATTGCTTGTCCTATGGCTTTATTTTCAAATCCCCACTTCTACATCTTTCTTAGCAAAAATACCCACTTTGCAAAATCTCATTTTACATCATAAGATATATTATTTTGTGTTCTTACAAAGCACATCCATCTTTGTTATTTATTTCCATCTTTTTTTCTTTTTTTAAAAAAAAGTACAAAAAAAATAATTCTAAGTGGTTTTTGCAATATTTGTGGGTGAAGAAGAAATGCAACAACCTGCAAAAATGTTCTTCATGTGGGACAATTTTTCACATGGGATTCATGTGATTGAAGCATTTTCCTTTGATCATTTTTCATGAACTTGTGGGCGGATGAATGTGGCCCAATGTGGGGCTGACAAGGCTTTGAAATATGGAATCCCATGCTCAGATCTTTACACCTTATTGACATCTAGTGGTTTTCGAAGTTTTTTTCTTCTTTTTTTTTTTTTTTTTTTTTTTTTCATTCTTTATTATAAAAATTTTAATTTCTTTCTTTCTATGTGTTCTTAATCGTAGTGGAGATTTTTTTATAATCGTCAAATTGTTTGAATATTATATATATATATATATATACACATACACAGAACCACAATGTAAGACAATCAAAGGAAGTTTTGAAAGTATGTGAGAAAAGCTTTGGAACTTGAAAGGTATTGTTGAAAATCCTTCATCGCAACTTGTTTTGTTGGTAGCTTGGGATGTTTCTATTTACAATATAGCTTTCTGATTATGTTTTGACATATTTTGACATACATTAAGAATAGTCAGGTTTAATAGAGTTGATTTTGTCAAAAAATACTGAAAAATAGAATTAATATTTTTTAATAAAACATGTTGTATACCCACTATATAATTTCATGTAACATGTAATCCAAATACATCTTAAATTTTAGTGTTCCTTAGATCCTATTATTCAGCAAAGGCAACCAAATAGTACCCACTATTTCATGCTAAGAAAACACAGTATGCTCAACAAGGAAGAATAAGAAGCTACCTTTACCTCGTATCTACTAAGCAATGTACCAAAATGTAAAAAACTACATATCATTCTTATGTAATCTTCAGTGCATTTTAAAATTTAAATTTTTTTATAATTTGAGCATGAATCCAACTTGCAATTTCAACCAAATCCCAAACAGAAACACAAAACATAACACTTTTAACGAACACTCAGTCTCAAGAAATTCTAAACCCTAAAACCAAGAAACACAAAAAATACATGGCAGTGAGTAGAAACTTGTGCATTTGCCATTCTGCGTGAGATCAATTGGTGCGGAGGACAAGCTCATCAGACTAATAAAGCCCTATTTTTCTTGAACTTCGACGTCTGTTTCGAATTTATTTGGTCCTCCAGCGGCAATGGCTGACATAACTGCAGGCCATTAGCAATGGAACAGGATAGTGCTGAACCTCCTTTTCCACACTGAGTTATCATATTGAGTTCACAGCAACAACAAGACGACGACGAAGAAACAAAAGACGAAGAAGCAGAAGCAGAAGAGGTGTTGTGGCTTCTATGGCCAGCATGAGCAGAGAGAGAGAGAGATTGCTTCATGCTGTGAACGTAGATAGCACCATCATCTCACATCCCTTTTGCT